ATTCACCTTTTCTTCTCATCAACACTAAATCATAACGCTGCCTTGAACAAGTGAGTCTCACTTCCTAAAAGAAAACCGCTTGGCCATATATCAGTGACTGTTAAACTCTTTTCTCCTTAAGTTATGAATGTGTATATATTTTATTTTACTTATTGATGATATGTTTTAACTGTGAATCTGTGAATACTTCATTGATTTGAAAGTGAAGTGAATCCTGTTAGCCAGAAAATCCCACAGCAATGAAAATGATCTCAAAACGTTCTCTCTCTGTAGCATAAGCCTCTTTCAAAAAGAAGTTATTTCCATTTCTTCATGAATTAAAAATCATGTACTTAGAATGAATTTTATCCTAGATGTAAAGGATGAAAATCAGTCTTGAAAATGGTTTTCTTTGGTTAGAATTTCAAATCATTTCGCAGTTTACTGGCATTTTTTTCCCTCATCGCCAGAATGTTTGGTTTATTTTATAATTATTCATCCTCAGTTCACCTTGAATTCTTTTCATAAACTTTCTAGTTGAGAAAAAAAATGAATTTATAGAAAAGTTGCACAAAAAGAACAAACTTCCTGTCTTCCCTTTGCCTATTTTCCCCTAGATTAACTACATATATAACTATTTCTCTGCACGATGATATTAAGATCTATATAATATTATTAATTGAACTACAGACTTAATTTGATTTCCTCCATTTTCCCACGAATGTTCTTTCACTGTTTCAAAGTCTCATCCAGAGTACTGCATTCCATTTTGTATAATTTGGGCTTCTCTGATTCTTTATACATCTGACCTTGTCTATGACTTTGTCCCTGTGAAAAGGGGTCAATGAAGTCTCATACTCAGAGTAGTTCCTTCCCCTTGGCTTGCCTTCTTGGTGCTATGTTCCATCCATATTCCCTTTCCGAGTGTTTTTAAAATCCATATCTTTTAAAATTAATGAATTTAACCAAAACCACATTACATAATCCATAATTCCACGTCACTCATCAGCTCCAAATGCAGGAGCTCACGACACAAAGGCTGTGGAAGAACGGGACCCTTGTGAAGTTTCAGAGCTCTCACCCTTTCATGGGCTACTTCAAAGATCGTTTAAGATCTAGGACTCTCGAAAGAAAGATGGAGAATCAAATGGTGCCCACTTCAATGAATGAGTCCAGAGCTTAAAAAAATATATATTTTTAGATGAATGGATATAAATCCCTTTTTTATATATGCACATCAATACAAGTTCCAGTAATTCCTTTCCATATCTGCATAGATTTGCTTCCATAGCTCCTGGAGGGTCTCTGACCCCCTGGGGAGACTCCCTAACTTCTCTGAGGCTTTACTTTTGCTGGGGGGAGGGACGAGAGCACACTGGGATTAGTCCACGGTGCCCTGCCCCACAGCATTCCTGTCTAATCCTCACCCTTCAGTATCTCTTCCTTATTAAACCAGGTTCAGAAGCTCACTGCATCTGCTCCGAGTCACTGAAAATGGTCCTAAAATATGACATCTGCAGTGTTAGGGGGAGCAGGACTTTGCTGTGTGAGATTTAAACTTTCAGCAGGATCATAGAATGTCTGTTATTTCAAGTTGGACTTGATTATTTTTTCTAAACCGCCAGACTTTCAGACCATACAATACCAGCTTTCTTCAAATGGAACTCTTTAGTTCCTTTTATGGTAAAGTTTAATACTGTGAACATATGGAGGGTCTGAACGTCTGCCAAATGTTTTAAAAGACAAGGTTATAAATACCCCAGCAGCGAGCTTTGTTCCTTAATGTATGGCTCTGTTACTCCAAGTCAACGTGGAAGATAAATCAGAGCACAGAGCTGGCTTGGGCATTAACTTGATATTTCTGGCAAGTATTCATAGCATCTCATTTGGAGAGAGAAAGAGAAGTGGTTGTTCTGAGGTAGCGTTAAGAGAGTGCAAAAAAGAATTAAATTTTATAAAAAGCGAGGAGCAGAATAAGAGCATAATTGAAATATCTAAAATGTAAATACACAGTCTAATTTTCTTACCAGCAAAGGGAAGCTTAAGGAGTTATAATACCAATGTCTATGGGTTTGGAGATTAGACTCTTTGGCCCCTTTCATTTAGATGGAGAATTGATACTTCTCAATTTCTTTGTATTACATCTCCCTCTCTCACTCCTGGCTCAGCTCTCTACAGTTTTCTACTGCCTGATTCTCAAGCTCTCTGCCTTAACATGGACTTGACCCTGCATGACTCACTTTGGGACATCATCCTATCATCTCTTTGTCTCTGCCATTTCTCTATAAATAGGGATAGGCTGACCTGCCCTCTGCACCCAGCATCTCACATTGCTGGTCCCATTTGTTGCTGGGCTGGCAGCTGGCAGGATCTTACCCACTCCCACAGCATGCGACGTAGCCTACCATGTCTGTGAGATGCAGCACCTCAGGTGAATGAACCCCAGCGTGGTGGGAGGAAAATTCTGTGCATGAACTTCCCAGATCACTGGGATAACATTGAATAATTCATGGCATCTTAACAATAAGTACAAATAAGATCCTGAGTGGTCTGATGTAGCCTCCGAAGGTCCAGGGACTGCCTGGACTGAGCTCATTCGTGTAACGAGATATAATTAAGAGCAGACGACTAAAAATCAGAAGAACTTTGGTAAGACTGTTTATTTTCCAGTTCTTAGATGAAGATATATATATATATATATTTTTTTTTGGTATGCTCTGTAAACCTGGACTTCTCTGTATCTAAATTAGGAATACCCACAAAAATTATTTTCTTAGGAAATTGATAGGGAACTCAGATAACAATGCATGAGAAAGCTCATAATAAAATATTCTTAGCATTTTATGAATGGGCTAGATTTTGCTGATATAACAAAGAAATCTCAATGGGTTACAGAGTACTCTCTTTCAGGAGATATACACTGTCAGTTGCTTGCCACTCTGTACCAAGTATCTTTCCATCTCAGGATCCAGGCTCACCCTTTATCTGGGATATTGTTTTCTGATAGTAGGGAGAAAGACCAATAATAGAACCTCATTATGGTCCTTGAATCTTGTTCTCAAATGTGACATAGGCCGCTTCTGCTCAGACTCTGTTAACCAAAGCAAATCACATCTCCAAATCTGACTTCAGTTAGGTGGAATAATGTACCCACCCCACAGGAGGGATGCTTAGGAGATGGAACTACCAACCCCCTATTTCTAGAGGAAATCAGTGACTATTTCTAATAAATAATACAAACATAAATCCTGGGGTGGAATAAGACACCTGGAAGTCCCTTGGAGGTGTTCCTGGTTACTAGATATCTCCTTTAAAACAAGAAGTATATTAAATCAAATAGAAAAACTCTCACAGCTGTTTTTCTCCTGCATTACTTTTAGCCCTTGAAGAGCTATTATGAAATTGCCTAGAAAGAAGAAACATGTCTGCAAGAAAATCTACAGGGAGAGTAGAGGAAAAAGAACCTTAGGAAGAAAATTAGAGGGGAAAAAAACTAGGGAGTAAAAAGGAAAGAAAATAAAACATCAAACATGAGAACTCTGTCACCAGGATTAGTGAAGGATGTGTCTTATTTCTTAATACAAGCATTAATGGTGCCTCCTCAGTGACACCAGGATCCATACTCTCCATCTGCCAATGAATGCAGCACCTGGAGTTAGACTCTGGGTCCCTGAGTTTTCCTCATAAGAAGAACTCAAATGAGTACATTTCATAAGTTTCCATGAAGCAATGACTATGAATCAGCAAATCAAAGAATGTTAGACAAATGAATATTAATGCAACATTTTCAGGGGTTGTATTCTAACAAAATGATGTTTGACTGCCCCAATAATAACCTGTATATCTATCCTTCCATCCATCCATCCATCTATCAGCCATCAAATGACTAATTTAACTACATTTCCCTACATCAATGTTTTGAAAAAAAAATATAGGGCTCAATGAAGATAAAAGTATTTGCTGAAATGAATGGCTTATGGTCCATTCATAATTGTACACATTTATGTTCAATGAAAGAGGGTAGGTAGTCCTCCACATTTCTATCTGAGGAGTTGATGTAGAAAAAAATACAGAAAATTTGTACTTTTTTCTAGGTACTTTTTTCCCCAAAATACACTCTGCCTCCCTCAGGACTGAGTTTTGAGTCGTTGTGCTTAGAAAACAATGTTGTGCATTATAAACAATGCATATATATAAATCCATATGTATGTATGTATATATACATGTGTATATGATGTATGCATAATGTTGCTTCCCTTGATAAATATATATACTCTATGAACCCAAACATTTTGTTCACTGATGAAATTCACAGTGCTTAGAGAAGCATCTGGCCCAAAGGTGGCACATACAAAAATCTTTGACTTATGCTAATTGTGGTTTATTTCATTGTTTTTCAGGTTTGCATTGATCAGCTTTTGCTTAAAATAATGCTGTATAAGAAACAACTCCTTGGGATTCTCAGTGAATTATACTGAAAGAATATTTCTAATTCATCTGCAGGTAGGCTGTGTAGTCAGATTCACATGTCTCTAATACCAATATCTACACTGAAGATAAACAGATTCTGCTTATTGTATGTTTTTCTCATGAGAGAGGATAGATATGCAAGATGCTAAGTAAACACACACACATACACACACACACACACACACACACACAGAGAGAGAGAGAGAGAGAGAGAAACATCTCTTGGATGTTTCATTGATCATGATCAATCAAATTCCATTGGCCAAAGAAGTGTGCACATTGAAGCCTAACTTTAATGAAGTAAAAAGTGTATTTCTCACATGAAAAATGGAAAGAAACAGACAATATATGCTAAACAAAGCTAAAAATCCACCAAAATTATTCTCATTTTATAGGAACATTTCTGCCAACTCCTTTGACAACACTTTCCTGGATTTGAGTCTTCTCTGAGTCCATGTTTCATCTGCTTTTCTCACAGCTTCTTAACCTGCCGTCTGTGTCTCTGTTTCAGTCTTCTGAATAATTCTTCCACCCATCTCTGCCGTCTGTGTCTCTGTTTCAGTCTTCTGAATAATTCTTCCACCCATCTCTTCTCAGAAAATTGAATCTCAAGTTGGACTACATTTTTGGCAACTCTGGCTTGATGCTTCTGTCTTGTTGAATTCTGGACGGTGAGTGGTTGAGCCCTCCTCCATCCCACACCTCCTTTATGCAGCAAAGGATGTCCCCAGGACACCACCAGAAGCAGCAGCTCTGAATCTCCAAACAGTCTATGACAAAATAAGCCATATTTGAGTCAGCTATTAGTGTCCTTTAATTCCCCTGTTATGGATATAGCAACTTTTCCATTTCAGATCTCTATGTTTTATGCAACGAGATCAAAAGGTGTGAGCATGTCAGATGCAGAGAGGAAAGAATACAGAGTGTTGAATTGCATAAGCAAAAGAAATAAAAAATGCATGAAGTTTGAGAGCCAACCTCAAGATTGGAAATGGGTGGGGCTTATATGCACTACAAAATGAGAGTATGGTGCCTCATTCCTCACAGACTGAGAGAGTGTTAGAGCACCTCAAAGGCTGGTACCAAAGTTGCCCATCTTTAAGAAAAGGGCTAAGAGCCTGTGGTTGGAGACCACTGTGAGTTAAGAGGGATCCTCCTCCCATGGAGATATAACTGTGTAAGACTCTGAAGATCTTTATGTGACACAGGGAAGGAACAGTCAAGAGCATCTGATACTGAATTTCCCCCCAAAGTGAAAACAGAAGAGATATCTGAGGAGATAAATTTTGACTTACAAAGGTCAAAGCCAGCAGGACATTTCAGCAGACCAAGACCATGATATAGAGGGGAAAAGTGTGCCTACAGATGTCAGGGTTTGGGATGTCATTCATTTCATCCTCATAATTCCCTATTCAGTCTCTCTATCCTTCCCTCTCTTACCTTCTTCCTCTCGTCTCCCAACTTCCCTACCTCCACTGCTTTGCTCTGCATATCTCTATTTGGTTTTGCTTTCTATTGATTCTCTCCTGCTGCTCTCTTCCTATATCTAGAAAGATGCTTATGGCCAGCAGTGAACCTGTATCCTTCTTATAATGCAGTAAGAAGCCCTTCCATCTCCATTTCTTGGAAGAACCAGAGTAATTCAGACATTCACCATCCACCCTCATCTCTGTAGCAAAACAAATGTTTTAACACCATGTGCATGCAAGAAGAACACAAGATGGTCCCCTGCAAACTAATGACAGGCAGGTGCATCTCATAAGGGAACAGGAACGACACAAATTGCAACTAGCACTGAAAGTGTCTATGATGTACAGCAGCCATCACTACCATATATGCCCTATGACCAAGAAGAATTTCTACTACTAAAAATCATCAATAACTTTGGAGCATGGCTGACCATTTCTTTTACCACTCACTCCAAATTCCAGGGTACTTCAAATTTGGAACAACCTTAGATTACTATTATCAGCAGAAAGTTAGGAGGAGCCTTGTATTCATGTCATATGGCTATTTGGTCATCACCACGACCCCTACAGATTATGAGTTCTTAAGATTAATAAAATATCACTTTAATATTTTTTATTTCTCTCTGGTATACTACCATGGGAATTGCAAAAACTTAACAATTATAATTTCCTACATACATTAAAAAATTAAATGCAGAGTCAGTTAGGTTATAGTGCAAGTGTTATGGTGAGAAAGTTATTTTTAAAATGCATCAGCGGCTCCCACACAGTCGGACCTTAATAAATGTTTAATAATGACTATATTACTTTACTTTCCTATAATTGTTTCTGCCATTAAAATGCACTTCTACCTTTTGAAAGAAAACAATAAGTGATTCTTTGTTATGAGAGGGTTAAGGTTTTAGAACAGTATGTCATTAAGATGAAGATACCAGGAAGGCTAAGATTTTGGAGCAGTATGTCATTTAGATGTATATAAAGAACATTTGACTAGCTAGAGCAAAACAGCTCAGGAATGTATGCCTCTCAATTACTGGTTTAATCACACATATAATGTGTATGTTGGGACTTCAAAATTCAATCAGTGACATCTGCCACCCTGCATTCCCATTGTTCTTAGTGTGGTGATTTTCAAATAGTCAATGAGAAAATCAATTCATCAAGCATTTTCAGAGATCCCATGAACAAACAAAGGTGTCTTTCAATGTGGATAATGAAGAGAGAAAAATAATGAAAGTTCTGATTTTTCAGAAAGAAACGATTTTTGTGAAGTTTAATACAGAGCAGCTTACAAATATTTTTGATAAGAGTATTTTCCATGTGTGTTTGTATATGTTGGTGTTATAAGGCATGTAACATACCAGACATGTGTTTTTTGAAACACACGAGCAAACACATTCCAGTTGATGCCACATTCTGAACTTAATCACTTTGTGAGAGCAAATTCTTAGGCAATGTGTTAGATAATTCATTAAATCGTCATCTCAAAATATTCTATAAATGTCATTATATATGTGCATTATACTTATGTGTTAACCCCACAGGCTAGTAGTCCTTTTATTTTTTTTTTCTTGTTCTTTTATAACAGCCATGTAACTGACATTCTGAAACAACAACTTCCAGAATTATAAATGGTCAGAGAAACCTGGAAATATGAAGAAATCTTTCATATCTTATCAAGTATTAGTTACAATCAACTTTGATTTTTTTCAGTAAACCATATATGGGATATATTATTCTGTTTCACTTATATTCTTGAAATCCCAAGAGAAATACATCTGTGGTATATATTATTCTCCTGATTTTACTTCTAATTGAACTGTCTCTGGTGCTAGGGTGAGATTGATCACATTGGTAGAACAGGAAGTAAGATCTGAAACCAGAGGTTTTAACTTCAACCCCTACATGCCATGTGGTTGAAGTGCTTGATGTCCAAAGAACCCTATATTGTTCTGTGTGGTCACACAGATGCACATGGAGACCTGAGGTAAAAATGATGGATAAGCCCATGCCAGGAATTTTCCACATTACTTTGGGTAAGCAATGGAGGATTCTAAATGTTGGCGTGAACCATTGAATCTCAAATATCACCCTGATGGTTTGGTACTGGACAAAAGGGATGGATTAGACTGATGTTAGGAAGAATGAAGGTAGGCTAAAGACATATATATTCATTTTTAAATCAAAGGCTGGAGTGTAGACAGAAAGACAAGGGATGTGGGATTTATTAAGGAGATATACACTGTTAGAATTATTGAACAACTGGCTATGGGTCTGGATGATTCCAGTATGTTGGGAAAAAACCAGTCAAAGTAAGGTAGAACCTGAAAGCTTCCTGTATCATCTTGCTTTCCCACCTCCTCTCAGGAATTCTTAAAAGTAGTGTGATACATGAAAGAGGATATACAGGTAGAAGTGAAAGGAAGCCCATTAAAACCACATCTGCCTGTGGTCAGCAACTGCCCTTATTCTTACTAAGGGCAAAAGGAGAGATGGGATCTTCCCATTGGTAAAAAGAGAAAAGAGAGAAAGGGGAGAGAGAGCGGAATAAAATTGACCAAATTGTTATATGGTGTGCACGTACAAATATGTACCAAAAAAAAGAGAAAAAAAGGAGAGAGAGAGAGAGAGAGAGAGAGAGAGAGAGAGAGAGAGAGAGAGAGAGAGAGAGAGAGAGAGAGAAGGAAAGAGGAAGGAAAGGAAAGAACAAGACATTTGAGGCTGTGCCTCAGTGGAAGAGCCCTTCCCTCACAGGCATGAGACACTGGATTCAATCCTCAGCACCACATAAAAATAAGTACATAAAAAGATATTGTCTCCATTGACAACTAAAAAAAAAATATATTTAACAAAAAAAGAAAAACCATTTTGCCTTGTTTTCAAGAAGTGTTTTATTATTGTCCAGTTCAGATTTAAGGATATGAAACTCATCTATTTCGTATTAAAATATAAAAATGTTAATATGAGCAGAAATAAAGACCATTATAGCCCAAACTCTATGTGACAGAACTACATGCATATAATTACTCCTTGCAACAATTCTGTGAGTTAGGGACCTGAGACCATTTTCTATTGCTAAGAAAATACCTGAAGTTGAGTACTTTATAAAGAAAAGAGATTTATTTGTCTCGCAGTATTCGAGGCTGGAAGTCTATAATAATAAGGCCACCCTATCAGTTTGGCTGCTGTTGAGGGCCTTCTGATGGAGGTCATCACGGTGCCAGCACGGGTGACATTAATCACACTGGGAGGACAGGAAGTCAGAGATCTGGGGTGGAGCTAGTCTTGCTCTTTTTATAGTAACTGGGCTTTCATGGGATCTCTCTCTCTCTCTCTCTCTCTCTCTCTCTCTCTCTCTCTCTCTCTCTCAAGGGCACAATTCACTCTGCAACATCAGCATCAATGCCTTCCAAGGGCAAGGTCCTCAATGACCTAATTATTTGCCACGAGGTCCCACCTCTTAAAGGCTTCCCAACCCTCTCCATATTGCCATACTGGGGCCCAAGCTTTAAGCACACACACACACACATATACACAACTGTGGTGACACACTCAAACCACAGTTAAGCAGTACTATTATTGGGATAAAACCAACTAATTTCACATAAAAATCTTGCATCAAAAATTGCTTGTCAAGAAACAATTCATCCCTGTGAACTCAGATGCAGGGTCTAAAATGAGCCTGCTAACTTTAGGACAGGTGAGAACAAAGGGAAGGAGGAGAGTGGGGAAAGTGGGTGTTAATTTTATCTATTTTTCAAATTTGCAGTATTAAATGAAGATAGTCAGTCTACAATTTTGGACCTTGGGCTGCTGACTTGAGAAATTAAAATTAATTAAAAAAAATACATCTTAAAACTTTTTTTTCCTTAATTTTCAATATTCTATGGTTAAATAGAACTCTGTTTCGGTAGCACAGGCTGGTCATTTGTAAAACTCCTCATGTCTACATCGATTTTACATTATCTCGATTAAGAATAAATCTTCCGAAAGTGAGTCTCAAGACCCTGCTTAACAACAGGGTCATTACCAAGAGACTGGAGCTGCTACATAAGATGAAAATTACTTTCCAACCAAGTGGCACAATGTGCATCCTCCTGGGTGAATGGGAAAGAACACAAAAGAAGACCTTTGTTAAGATATATATCACTCATTTAAATCAGAAAAATTAAAAAAATATATATGTATATATATATTTGCAAACTTTTAAAGAGAACAGCGGTAGCAAGCCAAGCCGTGGTGCATACTCAGAAAACTGAGTATTTGCAATTCTGTCTCTAGATGTAAGCACCACAACACCC